GTTATTTTAAGATTTTAAAATTTTATTTTTAAATTATTAACAATGAACCTAAAACTATCATTACCTTTTCATTCTCAAATTGATAGTTAAACCGAGAAGAATAATTAAGATTTGGAATAGTATTTGAGATATACCATCAACTATTATCAATATTATTAGACAAGTCTATTTCTATTGATAAAATATGCTTATAATAATACAATACATTCTTGTACTTAATAAGTACTTTTCTTTGCTAATTATGTGTGAGTTCTATCAATGCATCTTAATTAGTGGATTAATTAAAAATATAGTTTTACATCATTGAATTATATAAATATTAAGATTAAAAAATATTTTTAATTATTTAAGTATTATTAGAATTTAATAATATTTATATTTTATAAAAGTCTTATTAGAAGAAAAGTTACAAAAATTGAGTCTTAATAAGTCTTAGAAGCAATTATCTTAGTTGGTTTAGTATTTTTATTTATTATTAAGTATAAATAATTAGTTATTAAATTAATATCTATATTAGCCTCTTATCTACATGTATTACTTATAAAATCCTATTAATAATTAATTAATCGTTAAAAAAAGTATAAAAAGAACTTCATATCTTTTTAATTAATTATATTAAAAATAAAAATAATATAATATAATTAAATTAATTTTATTACTATAAAAAATAAATAAATACAGTCTTAAATAGATATTATGAATATTAAAATATTATATTATTTTTTAAAACTTATTTAGAATTTATTTAGAATTTTTAAGGAATTTTTAGAAAAAAATTTAAGACTTTGGTAAAATTAAATTTTACCACCTTGGGAGCTATTATGAAAAAATGGAACAAGATTTGAAGGCCGTATAGGGATCATATATTATTTGGATTTTATTGAACACCATACGAAAGTCAAAAATCTCAAAACATGAGATCTTCTAGTAGAAAATAGAAGGACCAACAACTAATTTAATCCGAATAGGAAAGAAGGAATATAAGCCCTATATGGATTGTAGCACCTTAGATGTAAATAGTAAGATAAGACTAAGGCCTTCAGGCTTCTTTACATAATTTATATACACCATATGTGAACCTTGGTGAGGCTCAAACCTTTGACCTATAAGCAAATTATGCTTGAGGTAAAATATTTGTACTTAGTTTTTTAATTATTTATTTTATATCTTTAAATTTTTATAACTTACTCATTGTAATTTGGATTTATATATTTTTTATGTCATTAAAAATAAAATAAAATTATCTGTCTAATTTATTTTTTTAATATTTTATTTTTTATTTTTATTAAATAAAAATTTGATGAACAAACTATGAACTACTTTTATTAAATGCAATTGTTTAATTATACTTATTTTACTTATTTTATGTTGTTCTTTCTATTATTCTTATTTATTACATCTTCTACTTCATACCACCAATTATAAGAAATTTTTAATTGAGGCCATCTTATAATTTAAATTGAGAAAAAAATTATCTTCACATTATGGTTATTACCTATAATTTAATACTTTTTACTTCTTAAAAATTAATAATCTTATGACAAAAGATTTGACAAATAATTTATTAAAGCTATATACAACAATAAAGGCACAATTAAAAGAAGTTCAAGAACAAAAAAATATCAATATAAATTTTTATTGCAAAGAATAACTTCAATTCTATTTTATGACAAAGTATGGTTATTTTGTTGTAATATCAAGACTAGTCGTCTTTCTAATAAGTTGGATTACTGTAGACTTAAATCTTTATTTATTTATAAATAAATAAATCTAATTGAATATTAATTAAATTTACTAGAGTCTATAAAGATTTATCCCTTGAGCCATATAAGATAATAGATGTATCAAGAAGAAAACTAATACCACTTCCTCTTATTGAAGTAGACAATAATCAAGAGTTTGAGGTCAAAGAAGTCTTAGATTCAAGGCAATATACAAATAGATTGGAATATATTGTATATTTATATGGATATGATATTAGCAAATGCAAATAAAAGCCATCCAAGAATTTTACAAATGCACCAAAGAAGGTTGATACTTTTTACTAATAACATCTATTAAAACTAAAATAAAGAATCAAGTTATAATTACTATTCTTAGTAGAAATTGTTTTTAGAAAAGATAATAATATCATAAACATACATAATATTAAGATTAAAAGTATCAAATAAAAGATATATATATATATATATATATATATATATAGATTTAGTAATATCTAATAATAAAGATTTTTAGAAGCTATATATACATGGATTTGTCTTTGTTAGATATGCATCTATAACTTATGAGGCATAACCTTTGTCTTTATGTATTTATTTTCTCATGAATTATTCTTAACTAAACGAACCATTTTCTAATTGGTTTACTTTAACATTGTATACTTCTGCTTCCAAGCTTCTCTTATATTGTACAGCTTATTTTTTAGGTCCTTCATTTTTGTAATTATTGTCATAATCTCATTTTTGAGTTAATCTATTCTTTTAAAGCTTTTGAATATATGCTTTTGATTCAGCCTCTAATAGTAATTAAATCTAATATAATAATGATAGCTATCTTAATTTGAATTTTAATAAACTATTGAGGATCTAAAATCTTGCTTTAAATTTTAGAATTAAATTCTCTTTGATAGTAAGTGCCAATCTTTACTCCTTGGTTCATGGAACTTCAATTTTATATGCAATAAGCACCTTATACTCAAAAGCTTCTTGCTTCTTTTTGGATCCAATATTTTTCTTTATCAATTCTTCATTAATATTTTTTATTTTTTATTTTTTTTATTACTTCTAAATATATAAAAAAAACTTTTTTTTGTTAAAATAGATTTCTTGATCATATCATAATATATAGAAGATTCTTTAGTGTATGATATATAAATATTTTTCTTAATAATCCTACATCTATTTTTTTTGTCTAAGCTTCTATATCTTTTACATTGGCTACATAGGCATCTATATTATTATTTTTTTAAAATTATAAAAAATTCACCTATTATTGATATTTATCAAGCTATACTATTAAATTTGTACCAAGATTTTAATAACTTCACAATCAACACACTTTGAACATATTATGAGCAAATTTTAACATCACAAATCAATACTTATATGATTTAGAGTAGCATTTTAACGACTTGAATGCTATGTTGACTTTCACACTACTATTTATGGCACTCAAAGCAACTTATGTATCACATCTTTTTAAGTCACTTATGAAGTTGTTTGGTGTACTAATACATAAGTTGTAAAGGCCATCCCTCATAAAAATATTCTTCATTTAAAAAGCCCAAGACTAGTCATTTTTTTTTCATGTTATGTGGAAAGCTTCTATGATCAAACCATAAATGGTAACATTTGAACCTAATGTGTTTCTTAATACACTCATTGTTAGTATCTATAATTGTGCCAACACTCTTAGAGATTCAATTTCTATGTGTTTATAATAGTCACTTGATATTCCTACAATCAATTCATAGTTTGCTTATTGATTTTTCTATCAACCTATGTTCTAATATCATTTAAAACAATAGAAGTATTTGAAAGAAATTTAGTGTAAAACATGATATAAGTGATCATGAGATGTAGAATAGATAAAATTCACACAAAGAATAATATAGTGATTTAATTGACATGTACCATGAGATCAATTATCTAATTTTGTAGTTGAATGAAGGTACACATTGTCTTATGTCCTTTGTCATCTACCAACCAAAGGCACTTCTTGTCTTCTAATCAAGGTCATGTTATCTTCTTAGTAAGAAAAAAATCAAAAAAATTCAAAAAATAAAATATAAATATAAATATAAAAAGGATTTTTTTAGTACCTTGTTAATAAAGAAGAAACTTTTTTTATCCTATTATTGATTAGAAAGCCAATTTTTCTTGCTTTTGTAAAAAAAAAAAAAAAAAAAAAAAAAAAATTGTGACATATTTTGTGCTAGAAACATCTTCTGAAATAGATGCAAATATAAATATGCATATTTGATTTATTTAATACTTTTATAATTTAGTTTATTGATTATTATATCAACTTATATTTACCAAATATATTGTGCTTATTTTCTAATTTAATTCATTGAACTCCAAATCCATTATGAGACAAAAGTAAGTAATGTAACAAGCAAATAATAATGCAATCTCTTAAAAATTGAGTTTTGTGTATCAAAAGAATAGAGTAACCTTTCAATACCATGCTTCTTGGCAACTTTGATGTCACTTACTACACATGTTAGAGAGTAATTACAATTTATTAAAAATTAGTAGAGGATGATTTTTGATGTAAGTATAAGAGTTCACAAAACTTTTGAAGTATTTCTAAATGCAATAAAAAAACAAATGCGCCAAATACTTTACGAGTTTTTTACAATCAAAGTGTAATGCATTAATCAAAGGCTATTTACATTTAAATTAGTAGTATAAAACGATGTTCTGTCCTATTATTTAATTGAAATTAAAGTAGCAAATACAATATATCATGGATGATTGGGATGCTGGAACAAGAATGGATTGAGGTTTTCTCAAATTCAAGAAGTTAAAGAAACGGCAAAAAAACGAGTGTAGAAGTCTTTTAACCAAAGATCTATGTTCAGAAATTTGCTGATATTCTATGTGGTAGTTCATATCGTGAATATGATCCAATTCGATCAATCTTTGTTTTATCCCTCACGACAATTTGAGGTATGATTAGTTTAAACCAGCATTTAGTAGAGGAACATTTTAGCACTACTTTTAACATCACGCTTTGATACAAACCTGACCACAAAAAAAATCATTACATAACTATATTCTCAACATTTGCACTAAAAAGAAACCATTAAAGTCTGCCTTCAGGTTTTCGGCAAAGTGATGGAAATACTGGAGGTTGTGGATGACCGACATATCACACCAAGCCTCCCTCATTCACATGTCTAAAATTCAATCCAAAACGTAAGTCATTGTGGTATTCAGATGTAAATTCTCTTATGACTATATGAAACTTAATGTTGCAAACATCTGAAGATATGCCAGGATCAATTATCACGGCCTGAACTGGGACCGCATTTTTTAAAAAAGATAGAATGAAATACAGGTGAAATATGTTTCTTCTTTGAGCTGATAACTGCTCCACTAGTTGATAAAAATAATTTAGCTGGAAGGTTTAGAGGCAAAAATGGATTTGGTAATACAATCTAACATTTTGAGAACAAGCCAATAGCAAGACTAAATATTCCACGGTTTCCGGAAAGTAGAAATAAATCACAGGGCGTAATACCGTTAACTCCCGTCGCCATGCCCTTCAACCGAACTAATTACGCCTAACTTCTCAGGTATTTCTGGATGTCGTTCTGGACAACTCGAAAAGACGCCACAGCACCATCGTTTCAGCATACGGCAATGATTCATGAAGTCAACGACAGTTGCGACGCCTTCATAAAATTTCATTATTTAAAACATACAGATGATAATAACTCTGGGAGAGGAAGACTACCTCTATCTTTGATGGTGGAGTGGTGGGTGCATAGCGATCGACGACATTCCCGTTCTTGTCAACAAGGAATTTTGCAAAATTCCACTTGATGGTGTCTCCCAGAATGCTGCCTCTCTTCTGAGACTTCAGGAACTTGTAAACGGGCGCCTCCTGAGGACCATTAACGTCCACCTGCAAGGACAACAATATGCCAGTCAGTCTCATACACCAAGGATACAAAGCAGGAGAGTACAGGCATCTGTAAAACTAGGCGTCTGCGGATCAGAAAAGTGGGGGTGTTACCTTGTCAAAAATGGGGAACTCGGCTTTGAACCTTGTGCAAGCGAATTGCTTGATCTGTGCATTTGAACCGGGCTCCTGACCTCCAAATTGATTGCAGGGGAAAGCCAAAATCTCAAAATCTGCACGTCTCAAAAACACAGTGTGGGCAGCAACTCAGCAGACAAATTTTAACAGCCAACCCTTACGGTCGTCATGAGTGCGAAGAACACGCTCAAAACGCAAATCGTACCATTACCTTGAAAATGAGATATCTAGCAATTCAGACTAAAAGTAATCTTCATGAGGAGTGACATGTCACTAAGAGACTCTTTTTGGGAGGGATAATAGGCCAGAAGAGATCAAAAGCGAGTAGCAATTACTAATTTCCAGCAAATAAAGTGGATGCCCTGTCGACATTTAAGGTTTTGAGTCCAGAGTGGTGAACATCCGCTCACCTTGATTCTTGTACTTGGAGTAAATGCCCGCAAGCTCCGTATAGTTCGTGGTCGTCAATCCACTGCATACCCATCCATATCATGGCAATAATTGAGATTTGTTACTCTTGTGAATTACAATAGTAGACAAATACCAAGCTTTCTCATTAATAAAATCATTGCACTACATTTCGCACAAAATTTTGAAATCTTACACATGAATGATCCCAAAGTTGATATTAGCTGAGCACATGCTTACCATGCTGAAGCAACGTTGACAATGAGCAAAACCTTCCCTTTATACTTGCTCAACTCAACATCGTTCCCATCAATATCCTACACACATTCACGAGGGCATTGTTATTGTTACTGTAATTGTTACAGTTGTTGTTAATGCCACAGTATTATCAAGGATTACAATAAAATGCGGTTATTCTCTGGCGCAGTGCTGTGCCCTACTTGAAAACGAGAACATCGGTTCGAGATGACGAGCTGAAACAAAATTTCCTCAATGAATAGAAGCCAATTAAAAGGGAAGAAAAGAAAAAAAGAAAAAGAATTGAACCACTCGAGAACTTTGTAAAATCGTAACTCAGTCTACATTACGCATTTATGCTCCAAAAATTCGCTTAACAACGTGAAAAGTCGACGTTCTAAACCGTCCTCACACAACTAGTGCATATTCTACCAGTGTTGTACAACTTCAGCTGACAGAACAATCAAACAAGGAAAAAGATAGACTAAAAACCGAAATCAACACGCAGCATCTTCTTCATCCAACGCCAACAAAAAATGCAAAGCTCGGAGTGCGAAAGAACGTAATTGATCCACATGAAGCTAAAATTCGATTCAGCCAAGAGAGACTCACTCATTCAATTAACAAGGAGAAGAAAAACGACACCCATACCTTTACAACGAAGTCGTAGATAGAGCTGCCACTTTGCACCTGGGCAGCAGCATTCACGGGCTCCATGCCTCGTACACAGGTGGAGGAGGCAGCGTTCCCCAGAGTGAACCCTACCAACGACCCAACAAGACGCCTGCCAAATACAGAGCTGGAGGCAAAAGAAGCAGTGGCGCGGTGAGAGAACGCAAAAGCCGCGACGTTCTTGGGCAGATTTGAGGAGCAAAAGTGCAGACGCGAGAGGGCAGAGGGGAGAGAGGAAGACGACGCAGCAACGAAGAGGGCCATGTCAGAGGATGGGGAAGGGGAGACGAAGAGACGACGCGGGCATTCCTCGAGACAAGGTCGCGGGTATCAGCGTTTGCGTTGCGGAATCCGCTCCTTTTGATTGTGTGTTGAAACGCGAGCCAGCGCCCCATCACCCTCCCCTTCGCTTCCGCTATTCCCGTTAACGTGCTCGCTCTCGGGCCACACAGCGAGAAGCCCACGGCAGATGGCCACGCCCACGCTACGCCACTCCCACGCCCCAGTGGGGAGGGATGGATGGATGGAGGGATGGATGATAAACAGGGTGGGTGCCCAGCCCTGGCATCATCCTTCGCCAAGGGTTGAACACTTTTGCACTCCTCCTCAGTTGGGTTGGATTCCTCATTGGGCCCACATACCACACAAAAAAGAGTACAATGCTGAAGTTTGCCTTTTAGGGGCTTGCTTGCCTCTCAATCCCAAATCCTTCAATTCTCTAGTGTACCCCCCAAATTTCTTTAATTAAGGACCTTAGACAGCCATTATTATTATTATTACCACCACAAACACTAAGTAAAATCTGCTCAATCGTGTACTGCATAGCTCACAGCTCTTTCTTCTTTTTTATTTGGCTTCCTTATCCTAAACTTGTCTTAGGGGCTCATAGATAAACTATCTTCTATAGATGTGTATTATATATATATATATATATATATATATATATGTATATATATATAATCCATCATCATTTTGCTGCGGAAAAATTTCTCATTAAATTCTCTTATCAACCTCAAAAGTCGATGAAGCTTAAAGTCTACTGATTTTTCTTCTTTTATATCAAAGTGCAAAAAAAATAAAAAATAAAAAAATAACATACATTCTTTAATGAATGGTAATAACATACATAGATAAGTTTTTATTTCCTTTCTATTTTTACTTACGATATGCTATTTAAAAATATATAAAAATAAAAATGTGAGATGTTCATCTTCAATTTTTTAATCTAGCCTTTGACTGCATTATTTCAATTTTTTTATTTTTTTATTTATTTATTGTGATCAATCTCAAAAATCAACAAGAACCCATCCGTGTATAGAAATAATTCAGGTCACTTCTAGCTAGATCTATACCTCCTATTTATTACTTACACTATGTAGTTTGAAGAATATATATATAAATAAATAAATAAATAAAATGTGTTCTTAAAATTACGCATTAATGAAGAAATTTTAATTATTTCTGTTAAAAAATAAAGATGATTTTTATGAAATGAATATGATTATTTTCTTTATATAAGAAATAAAATATAATTTGGCTATATTTTAGTTCACTTCATTTTTGTAATAAATAGTTAATTTACACATACTCTATTGAAAAGATTGTATTTTTTTATTATTATGTACATTCTAAACTCAAATATTAAGAATTTATTAATTAAGAATTTCTTATAATTGATGGTATAAAGTGAGATAAGCAAATATCAAAAACAAAAAAAGAACAAACTCAAAACAATTGAAATTAATGTATGCAAGTAATTATGCACTCCAAAACTTAGATACAAACTATTCACTGAATTTTCATCTTATAAAAATTATATGTAAAAAATAAAAGTTATATTTTTAGATAAGTAATTTTTTTATCTTTGAAATGACTTAAATATATATATATATATATATATATATATAAATCTAATTTATTATGAGTGAATTATGAAGGTTTAAAGATAGTTAGTAAATATTTAAAATATAAAATAAAATAAATTTTATCTCAAAAGTAACTTGCTTATAGATTAAAGATTTGAGTCTCACTAGGGCTAAGATGTAATATAAAAAGATATCCTAGAGAGTCTTTAAGACCTAAGTCTAATTTTCCTATATACATCCAATGTGCTACAATCCATATAAGACCTCTGCACTTTTCTTCCTATAAGGACTACATTAACTATTAGTCCTCCTATTTTTTAATAATAAAATTATTTTTTTTGAATTTTTTACTTCACCATGGTATTTAAAAAAATATCAATGAGTCTAAAAATTATGCATGGCCTTTGAATCTTACTCCATTTCTTCATAATAGCTTCCAAAGTGATCAAACTTCATAAAAGATTCAACTTGTGTTTGAAGAACTGCCAAAGTTGCAAAATTACCCTTTTGAAAGTCTGATGACTAATTAGGCACCTCAAAAAAGGGAGATTGTTCACATGTTCTAGATTTGATATCCACTACACTTTCAATCTTGCGGTGTCATATTATGTGTGTTCTTACATGAAAAAGCACCAGATACCTAGCTATAAAAGATAAATAAAAATACAACAATAATTCTATCAAGTCTAATAAAGCTTTAAATAAACTTTAAATAATTCCTGATAAATCTAATCAAACTTTAAACTATTGAAATAAATTTAAAAGAAGTTATAAAAGAAATATAAAGAAGTCATGATTTAATTTCAAAGAAAAATAGAAAAAAAATCTTAAAGAAATATAAAAATAAACCTTAAAAGAAAAAAAATAATCTTAAAGAAATATTGAAAATAAAAAATTTAAAGAAATAACAAAAAAATCTAAATAAATAAAAATAGTAATATTTGTATAATTCTAATTAAAATTCTAATTAAATCTTAATCAAATTTTAGGTCAAATTCAAATTGAAATCCTAATTAAACCTTAACCAAATTCTAAATCAAATCTTCATGAAATCCTAGACAAATGTTAATCAAATCCTAGTCAAGTTTTAAACCAAATCCTAATCTTAATCAAATTGTAGATAAATCCTAAATCAAATCCTATAGCAAATTAGAACCTCAATAATTAATGATTAAATCATTGATATTAACTCAAAATTTTTACACTTTTTAATATCTTAGTTAAAAACAAGCACAAGAAAGATGAAATCAATTGCACTTACTAATTGAAAGAAATGTCAGATAATCCAATTGGATATTAAGCAGCCTTCTTTAACCTAAATGCTAAAATTTTAGCATCAATTTTTTTTTGAATCCTTGAATTGCTTTCAAATTTCACCTAAATTTTAAAAATTAAGTCTAATATCTATCCAAAAAAAAAAAAAAAAAAAAAAAAAAAATCACTTCAATTCAATTAATAGATTGCTGAAGATCTTAGAAACACTCTTTGACCTTTAAATTCTAATTTTTGAGATCTTAATCCACAAAAACCCTCATATACTTCAATCTAACTATTCAATTGATGTAAAATTTGCATATACATTTACAACTAATACACCAACATATTGTTCAAATTTCACCTATACATACACCATAGAATTCAAGAAATCTTCAAATTTATAAATATATTTTTATTTTTCAAATCCTAATCCTACAAAGAACATTATTTATTTAAAAAATTCTTCAAAATCTTAATATTGATCCAAATATCATGAAATCAATGCCTAAAATCTTTTCTTAAGGTTGTCTTTAAATCTTATTCTTTGATCTACAAAAGAACTTTAGAATTACTATAGGTGTGTGGTTTTATGCCTGAGGATTTGATTTTGATTCAAGTTTTCAATTGGTCTTCTATGAGTATTGATTCTTGACTCCTTGAAGTAAATTTTATCAAAATCTATTCTTAATTCCTTCCTACACATGCTTGTATCATTTAATTTTTCAATCTACTTTATTTTGTCTTATTTATGGTCCTAAAAAGTAAGTAAAAGCCCATTTTATAAAAAAAATACTATTAACACTTTTTAGTTTTACTATCTTTTTGACTATTATCTATACTTCTAAAATAATTTGCCACAATATTTTAAAAAAAAATCTCCTATAATATAATTTTTTTTCTCTTTCATTCATTAGTTATGTTATATCATGACAATGGACTTAACATTATGCACATGGTTGCACAACTTAATGCATAGCTATTCTATTAGTTGTAGATTCTTGTTTCATCCGTTCTTTCAAAATACACTCTTTGGTTAAGGCATGAGACTTAGTCCTTTTTTATAGCTACTCAAGAGGCTATAGAAGCACTTCTAGCATAGAGCTTCTAATTAAGCTCCTTGCAAATAATGTCAAGTTTAATATTAGCTTTTACATTATGTGCATCTTCACCAATCATTTCTATTACTTCTTTCACTTCAACCACATACTTTTCAGCTTTTCTACCCTTCTATGTACCTTTAGAATTTATTTTCTTCTTGACAAAAGATAACATTACAACCTCTTTTTATTGACTTTTAGGCTTCTTAGAAAGCAGCTTGGATCTTTGCATAAGTGATCCACAATGCAATACTTTGTTTTTCTTTTTGTAGTGATCTAATCTTAATTTTAACTTTAAAAGTTAAAAATAGGGCATAAATATCATGGACATCATCTTCACTTTTAATCTTGATATATAATAGAAGAATAAATAATTAAGTGGTACATTTAATATTATTATATTATATGTGTTCTTGCTTGAGAATGCATTGAGCGCATAGTTGTACAAGATAAGTAGAAATGCAAGAAAAATCCTACCAAATTTAATAGAATCTTAAATAAAATTAAGTAAACCTTAATAATTTTGATTGAATTTTGACCAATCCAAAATAAATTTAAAAGAAGTTATAAAAGAAATACAAAGAAGTTTCAAATTAATCTCAAAGAAATATAAAAATAAATATTTATAGAAATAATAATAATAATCTTTAAAAAATATATAAATAAATATTTATAGAAATAATAATAATAATCTTAAATAAATATAAAAATTAAAATTTTAATAGAATTCTAATTGAAATCCTAATTGAACCTTAAGCAAATCTTAAGTCAAATCCTATTTGAAATTCTAATTGAATCTTAATCAAATCCTATGTCGAATTCTAATAAAATCCTAATAAAATCTTAATCAATTCTTAATCAATTCTTAATCAAGTTTTAAACCAAATTCCAAGAAAATTCTAATCTTAATCAAATCTTAGACCAAATCCTAAGCTTTAACCAAACTATAGATAAATCTTAAATCAAACTCTATAGTAAATAAAAACCTCAACAACTAATGATTAAACTATAGATATCACTTCAAAATTTGTACACTTCTTAATATCTTAATTAAAAACAAGTAAAAAAAAAATAAAATTGATTATACTTTCTAATTGAGAGATATGCAAGATAAACCAATTGGATGTTGAATGGTCTCTTAATCCA